GTCTTACCGGACTCACGTTACCAACTACGCCGTAACAATAATGGTCCTTTGGGAGATCGCGCGTTATCGATGGCTGCCCCCTTTTTATGGAACAGTCTTCCTCTGCCAATAAGACAGGAAACATCAATCGACTCTTTTAAACGCTCTGTTAAAACATATTTATTTAAGAAGGCTTTTAGTTAGATTATTTATTTATTTATTTATTTTTAAATATTGTAATTTTACCGGATAATTTTACTGGTTTTTAATTTAGTTATTAATAATATTGTAATGCGCTTTTGAGTATTTTTATAGAAAAAGCGCAATATAAGTATTAAATATTATTATTATTATTATTATTATTATTATTATTATTATTATTATTATTATTATTAAAATGGCCACCTTGGGGACAGAAGAAAGTGGCTGTTATGAGGAGGAGGTGGTCGTTGTAGAGAAGTTTAAATATGGACTGCTTGTCTGCCGGGGCTGTATGTGTACACACCGGTCAATTAAAATACGGTCAATCCAAGTTGATCTTGCTACAATCGATAAAAACAAATACAGCGTGCACAATCTACATATCCGATTATCTTAGAATGGAGCTTTTCCTAAAAAAATAAACTTAATTCAAAACTGTAAGAAAAACGATAAACAAACCTGTAATAAAGTCAAAATCGCCAATAAGGCGAAGTGTCAGACAAGATAAAACTCAAATACCTTAACACCTTATATCTATATTTTTCTCTAAACACATGCACTTATATACCTAAAATACACGTCTTTTTCTTTACTTTTAAATGCCGCCTAGTATTTAAATTGCCCGTGGGGGGGGGGGGGGGGGGGATCTCTATTCCTCATAAGCCCTTCCAAGTTGTATGCTAGTTTTAAATTTAACATCAATTAACGTATTTATTATCTTTTTTATTCTAATTGTAATTTATTCTGTGTGGCAAAATAATAAAATAAAATAAAATACTTCAACTGTGAACGGGTGTCACAAAATAGATACCAGTTTCCCGGCGAGAAAAACTGAACACATGAGATCAAGGCAAAATGTGCCAGCCAGCCAGTCCCAGATGGCAACCAAACCGTGAAAACGCATGGCATCAAGAACGCTACCCATGGGATCTCCCACAGGATTTCAATAGTAAGTGTGTTCTCTTCAATCGCCACAATGAATAGACAAGAGCAGAAGGGGGCTACAGCTTCCTGATCTTGGGATTTTTGTTGTTGGGCAGACAATGCTTTTAGAGTGTTTTGCGCCAGAGTTTCCATTAGCATAGTGAGCTTTTAACTTGTTTAGGTGTGGGGCTGGGGAGTTGAAGCTGTTAGATGTGCTGGCTAAAATGCTTGCAAAGCCTCTTTCAGGCACTGGTTAGACTCTGGTTAGTCTTAGTCATAGTGTCTGTTTCATAATCATATCATCGGAAATAATCAGATTAACCCAACTGACTGATAAAAATTATCGATTATAGTGGATTATAGTTATGTGAAACCTATGGACCACTTTCAATACTGAAAATCATTTTGTAAGTGAACAAAACGAAAAAAACCTGCAAACCAAAAGGGTACGAATTAATCACGACTGATGCACCCTGTTTTAGAACTTGCCCAATTAGTTTTTTTATTCTTATTACGTATTTTTAGATTAGTGTCCCCAATTAGCTGTCTTATACTCTGTACAGCTAAACACATTTGACACTTAAATAAATTTCTTATGTTACAGTATGTTACAATAATCAATTGAACATTTGTATAACCGATAATTACTTTGCTTTATTTTGTTTTTGATCAATGATCGATTACAATCGATAATCTGCACACCTCTACCAAGTCATCTGTCAATTATTAGACATGGCCCATCTGATGAGCAAGGTGTGTTTGACTTAAAAGACCTATTATTCCCAAGTGAGATAGCAATAATGCACATGACTCGTAACAGAGATTTATCCAGTGAATATCATGCAGGCTATCCAATTTTTGAACAAATGGAACCTGGCCTATAGTGAATTTGCACATTGACCTGACAAAGTGCAGTCCCAAGTAATATGTGTAAGGAAACCACAGTCAGGGACTTTGCAGTACAAATTCAATATATTTCAAAGTGGAGAATACATTTTAATTGCTATATTGCAAACAATGGTTTAAACTGCAAAACACTACTCTTCATATTTTGCTAGCCATTAAAGCAGGTTAAATGTTTTTATTTTTTTACATGTAACCCAGAAACATTGTGAACAGGGCTACAATAACATGTAGATGTCAAAAACAAACTAAGAAGTCTAAAAATTGAGAAGTAGATGAAGATTGGCAATAACTTTATTACCCCTACTAGGTCAAGTGTCAATTAAAAAATATTCAAACTGAACAAGGAACTATTCAATTTTTATGTTATTACAGCCAAATTTTCCTCACATAATAATAATAAATATTGTTTTATGCTTTTGCTTTCAGAGGAAACTAAGTTTTTACAGAGTTCAGTCAAAATCAAGAGACTATAAAGGTGACAGAGAGGGCATCCCCCATATACACCCTATTCCATAGGTAATTCGTCTCGAGATATTTTTAACACCACAGATCTCAAGGGGGATTAGACAACAGCCAATCACATAGCGCGAATGTGTTCCGCGTGGATGACCCACGCTGAGAGCCACGCGTCCTTCACGAAATGACGCAGAACAAAACGGGGGAAGACGCGGAGAGCGATTTTGCTATTCAATTTTGTCGACGAAAACGACTACAGCGAGATTTCTGCGAAAGCTGTGTCAGCGAAACCGAAATTAAAAAAGAATCGCCCTTCCTCTCTTGTATAGAGCTAACAGTATAGCAGGGAAATCCTTAACACACTGAATATTCTCTCAGGATCATTTATAATTTACAGTTTGAAGAGAGCAATTTGTGGTTTGATGTTTATTTTTTTCAGTCTTTACAGCGATTATTCCTACCCACTTCCTTTGTCAATTGTAGGGGAACCCTCCTAAAGCTGAATTTCAAGGGGCCATATTCAAGCTCAGAAAGAGAAATAAAATTTCGTCGTTGCTTATTTACGTCCTCCATAAAACGCGAAATTAGGCATTTTCACGTCGTAGTCGTGCAAAAACGGGAAAGAAATGAACCAAAAAGTGTGTTGCACGTGCGAAGTTGTTGTTTTGCTAATTAAACCTATTGTTTTTATGACGTTCTAGTTGTCGTCCGCGTCGTTGGATCTTAAACTCCCTAAATTGTACAAATGACCGGTTTCAATAGACCGGCGAAATTTCTCATTTTATTAAAGCACTGAGGTTACGACAACTTCGAGTTAAACTGATTTCACGGGTTGTCAAAGAGTCCAGCGATTCCTTTTTCCCTGGTGAGCGCTGACTCATTTCGCTTCAATATTCAGGAATGCTCTCGATCTTTTTACGCTTTTATTGCCTCTCGCCCGACATGTTTTGCACGGCGTTTGGTCATGCGAAACCTCCACGAAACATCCACGCCTCGCGCGAGGTAACTTTGTCCCGATTCTAAAAATAACTCGAGACGAATTATCTATGGAATAGGGTGTATATGGGGGATGCCCTCTCTGTTCCCTTTACAGTCTCTTGGTCAAAATGTATGCAGAAAGAAAAACAATAGTCAAAAGTCTCATGAAGATCTGTAAGCTTATCAAAACTGACGATAATTAAGCTTATATAAAGTGTCTGCTTAAAATAATGATAAATCCATACAGTAGTTGAGCTTTGGAGGGCAGCAGTTTGAAAGTGTCATGACAAAAAATACCCTGGCTCCAGAGGTCCGTTCTCGAAATTATTGGGATAAAATAAACTGCGTTCACGGTTTGAAAAGGTTCGCGAAAGAAGAAAAAGCTCTGGAACAACAACAAAAAAAAGCAGTGAAAAAAGGGCCGGCATCTAGAAATTAAGTTGTAAAGTGCCGTGTACGCAAACATTCTTAGGTTTAAAGCAAATCGGAAGGTCATTATCGCTTTATCATTCTACCCCATTCCTGTGGCTTGTAAGTGCATTCTTGCGTATTTCTGGCTTCTTTCTTTAAGCACATTGCGTTTGTCTTTGCGCCATTTTGTTTTCAAGATCTTGTACCCGGATTCTCTCACGCATTGTCGCATTGATTCCTGCTGCTGTAGCTGCTATTGGAAATCGAAGAAGACGGGATAGGCCTAGCTACAAATATCCGGATATATTTTTTTAAGATATTTAGAAGGTCATGGGATATTTAGAAAATTCCGAGATATTAAGAAAAAAAAGATGATTAAATTTTGGATTTTGCTATGAATTTATTACTTTTATGAGTTCACACATGTTTTTTCTTTGACACTTGAGATGGAAACTTCTTTGAGGCTCAATTAAGCGTCAGCAGTGGTCAGCGGTTTTACTAAGTTTACCCTCAACAAAATGGCAGATGCTGAAAGTTTGGAGGCTTCGGTTCCTGTTGAACCTGAAGCGGTTCCTACAGCTGAACCGAGTAGGGAAAGCACAGTAGCATCAACCAAGATTGTAGTCACTTTGTAGAGACTGACGCATCGCCGTCTTACCAGTAAATTAAGTATTTGATCAGTTTATATATAAAGTTGCTGTCGTGCTATTTATAGAAAAATGTTAAGAAAATGTTTGGGATATTTAGAATTTTGTCAATATACTTAGGGGGGAAAGCGAGATATTTAGGAAAAATATCAGGAATTTCAGATATTATACCACTACATGAGAAATTTCTGTAATTTGATTGGCTTAGAGCAGTGGTATTTCAGCTTAATTTGAAATACCTACATGTGAAAATTACAAACCTTTTGCGGGTAGTGGTATAAACAAATAATAGCATGATTTGTAGGTGATATTTGGCGTAAATACCACTCATGATATTTCAAAATTGTTTGAAAAATTTCACTCGCCTAACGGCTCGTGAAATTACGTAAAACAATTTCGAAATATCACTCGTGGTATTTATGCCAAATATCACTACAAATCAAGCTATTACCTATACCCATATCCAGGCCTCATTAATGGTACACCCCCGGGTGAATGTTGTGGTTGTATGAACTGCCGATTGCGGAACTGAAGTGTTCGTTGTAGTTGATCGATTAATCCCTGCACCTGATAAAACTTCGCCTCTGATAGCAGGTCTTGTTGAATTTTTCTGTCTTCTGGACAACAAAATTCGCCGTTTCGAAGATAGTTCAAGATGTGCCTTAAAGGGGAGAAAAAACGTTCTCTCTTAAAAGAAGAAGGCAATTTTTAATTAACTGAACAGAATATGCAGAATGTTTAAAGGCATAAGTTCATGGTTAAGCGCCTGCTCATCGATTAAAATACCTTTTTCCAATTTATTATTAAAATCATCGGTTAATAATCCTACTCACATGTATCACAGCGATCTCAGAGTGTATTTCAAAGTAGAAGTTTATTTCTTAGTAACCTGAAGCAGGATGGAGGAGTACTAAAATCGCAGAAACGTTGAATTTAATGTTGAACCGAAGGTTTTATCCCATGGTTGATTAATTTACAGCTATTTGCAAATATTTAAGTTGATCAAGTGCAAGTGACTTCCAGGGGAGTGTGCGATTGGTTTTTTGACAACATTATGACATGATCGTATTGCTTGCATAGACGATACAGCATGTCCCGGCAGAAAAACAGCATTTTGATAAATGAGCATGCACTGTAAACCTGTCCCAATTAAGTTGCAATATTTATGAATATTATTCAGTCACTTTGTTTTTTTCAATTTATAATTGAAAACGAGTCACAACATAAAGCAGTGGGGAGCTCAGTCTTTCAAATCACCTCTACACCGTCTCCAAATGCGTTTTCCTGCCGGTGATTTGTGTAAATTTCCTTTTCTATCATTATGGTGAAAGAATGCCGGCCACACGATCAGATCGTTACTTAATATAAATAATTATACACGACTTCCGCTCATTTTGTCACTGATGCCACCACAGCAGGCCCAAACTCTGTGGGAGTTCGTTGGACTTTGAATTTTAAGAGAATGTATGAAAATAAGATTAACTCCCACAGAGTTTGGGCCGCCTGTGATGCCACTTACCCTACTTACCGGAATAGTTTACCATCGCGGTCGATAAAATAAGCTCCGTCTTCCTCGTCAGCTTTAACTTCAAACCTCCCAGAAAACATCGCACACAGCATGGAATCCGGGTCCTTTCGCAGGGTATTCAGGGTTGTCTTGTATATCTTTCCGCCGACGTTTAACTTGACGGTGCTGGCAAAGTGGACCTGATTTAGCGTTTTGGTCATTTCTTCAAAATTCGATTTTTCTTCCCTGACCTTTTCAAGGTCCTGCTTCAACAAGTCATGAGCTTCATCAGTAAGCTTTTGGGCATCGGATAATTTTGCATTGGCCAGGTGAAATAAGCTCAAATCATCATGATCTTCTTCTGCGGCCATTTTCCGCACCTCCGCACTGAAGTTAAACTATTGAGCCCCCGTTCCTCTTCTCCGCAGGAAAGCATTCCTAGAACTACTACATGTAAAGCTAAATAAATGTGCCCCATTTGTTTATTGCAGTCAGTGGAAACACGGTAACTCGAACTCTGAAGGGAAACGGAAAACAGTTCGAGTTAGCGGGAACTCGAGTTATCGGGGTAAATTCAGTTCAGTGAAATTTTGATCGAAGGAAATGAAATTTCGTTCGAGTTAGCGGAGAATTCCAGTTATCCGAGTTCGAGTTATCGAGGTTCCTCTCTCCTCCGCAGCTCTCTCTTTCGTGCCTCGCGCTCTCTCGCTCTTTTTGTTTCTCCCCAGCCTCCCCACGACACAAACAGGCCTCAGCGAAGGAGAGAGAGGTTCAACTGTTATTCACGATTACGTTTTCAACACAAATGGGGGTATCTTAATTCTCTCACAGATCACGAGCACAGATTTAAAAATAAGTTCAGGCGTCAGCGTGCGTATGTCGAGATATTGAGCACTCGGGAAGTTTGGAGAGCACGAAAGAGGAGTAAGAGTAGCTCAAGGCGCAGTCGAGAGCAACTCTAGCCTTTTGAGTGCTCTCCAAACTTTCCAAGTGCTCAATATCTCGACATACGCACTGCTGAAGCATGAACTAATTGTTTTATAACATTATCAAAGCGATCAAGAGGGCGCGCTCAAAGCAATCCGCGTCAATGTTTACGTCACCATATTTTTTCCCTCACAGTTAAGCTTATGTTTTTATCCTGAAACTGAGAGAAAGTGTACTCTAAAATGCATATTTAAGTGTCGGAAAACTATTAATTCACCGAACAATTGTTATTGAGAGAAAACAACTTTGCAAAGAATGATCTCACGCCATAGCTCGCACAGCTCGCGGATATGACAACAACAACAACAACACTCACCTCTTTTCCTTACTATCGTTTAACAAATTCAAACGTTTCCTCTTAAATTTTCCTTATAAAACACATGGTAAAGGCTTCATCGTGTACTGCTGAGTTATGGATGCACTCAGCAGGGAGACTCAGGATCGCTAAGCTCACAACAACACGAATAGTTTTTTGACGTCATCAGGGTGCGCAATAAGAATATCTATTTCAAGTATATACTAAAACAGTGGATAGTGTTTTTCACGCGCTCTGATTAGCTACTCAATCAGTGAATATCCTGCACTATTCACTGATTCACCTCCAGTTCCTCCGAGCGACCGACCCCAAACTCGCGTAAGTTGTGAGCAAAATGCCTTCCCGGTTTGCTGCCGTAACAAACAAAGAAATTTCACAACTAATCAAGCAAGCGGTTCCCGAAATTCTCGAAGAAGGTGACGAAGTTCGGGGTGAAAGTTTTAACAGGTAAAGGTTTGTCTTTTTGACTTGAATTTACCGATAAAACCGGCGAAAACGTTTTTTCTTTGCAAATGTAAATTAAGCTCAAGTCTTGCGTTACTTTATTTAGTTGACTTGTTCATAAATAAGCTTAAAACTAAATTTAATAAACTTTTTTACAGAATGATTTTAAATACAATAAGAATTCGCAACTTCTTTTGAGAAAATTTTCCCGCAAAGCTAAACAAATACCTTCAAGAGCTTTACTTGTCGGCAAGAAAAAGCAACGACCGCGGCCGTTCGGTCATTGCGCGCCAAAATTGTAATCGTTGCAGGCAACAGTAAATGAGTTAAAAATCATCATTTTTGAGCTCAATTATCTCACTGTTTTAGTATTTACTAAATAAATTATTCACCTCAGTGTCAGTGGCTAGTGTTGGATATTTATCTCGCTGCTAACGCGGCCTCGGGAAATACCACCACTAGCCACCTCCACTTCGGTGAATAATTGTGATATAAACACATCGCAACCGAGAGGTTAAATTAGGCGATTATTTAGAAAATAATTATGATTACTTAAAACACTACCACTAATGAGCTAATCTATAAAGAAAAATGAACGAAAAAATAACAGAAACAATACATGAATACACTACAGTAAAATTGTGACTTGTTAAAAAAAATAAAAAATTAAAATAAAAAAAAAACGAAATGGACTTAATAATAAGCAATCGAAACTTTTAAAACTATAGATCGGGAACACAGTTTAAGCTTTGAGGGCGTTAGACGTAATAAAACGTTTACGTAATCTGTTCGTCTTGAAAACGGGCCTAAATTTCCGTGTGTTTCTTAGGTTCGACCCAGAGGTATTAAGAGCAGGGAGAAGGCCGTCGAGCTTATTCTCTTTGTTCTGTACAATTTCCTTAAATAGTTTGTCTACAAGTTCCTGGCGGCGGTCTGAAAGTTTAGTTAGACTTGATTCAACTAAAGACTCATTGTACGAGCAGAAAAGGAAAATAATGCGTATAGCCCGCTTTTGTACTCCCTCAAGTTCATTGGAGAGATACGCGGGAAGACTGTCGTGAAAGACAGGACATGCATACTCCGTGATAGCAGCGAATGCAAGTGCAGAAAAACTGAACTAGCTCACGGGTACCTAGGTCAGAGAGTTTAAGCTGAGATAAACTATACAGGCGCTTCTTAGCTTTCTTGACAATGGAATCAATGCGACAGTTCCATTTCAAATCACTAGAGAAATTGAGGCCTAGTATTTTGGCACTGGCAACTAATTCAGTAGGCATGCCGTTAACTACAACGAGGTCGAAAGACGTGGTATTCTTAGTGCTAAAGTTATGCGCAGTTCAAAAAACTTATCCGCGGAAGCGCGGTTGACCAGGGTGTCACGGCGGCCTAGATGTGACTGTCCTGGTTCTTGCTTATTGTCTCCGAAACAGTCGTATCGTCGACGTATTTCCAGAGATCGATGGTAGGAACATCAAGCTCGTTGATCATGATGATGAACAACCATTGCCCCAATTTTGTGCCTTGGGGAATCCCCGCCCGTACAACACCCCATTTTAAGAAACAGTCATGGCCAAGTCTAACTCGCTGTTTGCGCGAAGTGAGGAAATCTATTATCCAAGAGATAACAGGGTCAGGGATGTCATATAAGCACAACTTCCCGACCAAAATCCGGTGGTCAATGAGGTCGAAAGCTTACTTCAAGTCTAAGAGAACCACCCTCTCTGTGGCTCCATTACCGTCAGTGGCACTGTTCCAGACGGGGATCATGCTAACTAGGGCTTCTGAGGTACTTGAACCAGGAACGGTGCCAAAGTGCCTAGGATCGACCGTAGCAAGCACGGCAGGTTTGACGTAACGATCAACCACAAAGTCCTCACAGACAGCCAACTTGGAAAGGACAGGAGTAAGTGATATTGGTCTCAAGTTCTTGTTTACGTCATACACAGGGGTCTGCTTGGAAACAGGGGCAATATCTGCTTCCTTCCAGTACTGGGGTAGTCGCGCCTCCGAGTATGAACAGTTAAGGATACCAGATCAGTAACCACTTGGGCCAGTAAGTCTGCGTTCTCTTTCAAAAGCCACGCAGGTATGCTGTCCGGCCCTAAGGCTTTAGCCGGATTAAGACTGGTAAGTTTCTTTAGAACCCAGAGCTTAGTAGCCGTTGGCGGATTAGTGTGTTGCACGTCACCTGGTGCCTCCGGATGCAGCGGAGAAAAGGAGTTCATAGGGGCAAGGAAGGCGTTGTTAATGGTGTTAGAGAGGGCGGTAAGAGTAGAGTCAGGCCCTGAGTCAATGTGTGTCAAGACTGAAGTCGGGTCAGTACGCGTAGCTGATTGCATCCCACCGAGCCTTTTGACATGTCACTCTTTCATCTATAGGTAGGTATATATACGGGAGTGAAACAAACCCCCTGGTACTTTATATCCCACGTAATCTGTAGTATTATAAATTAGGTCGGTCGTCGGAAGCACCGTTTTAACTTCCTGTGCCCTACGAGTACAGTAGTGGCTCAGTCAATTCCAAGCGTGCCCATCCCCCCTCAGGCATTTGTCAGGCATTTGTCATCTTGTCGGTCCAGGTGTTGGAAATTTGTCAGAAAACCTGGGGAGAAAAACGCCCGGGAGTGGGGCATTTGTGAATTCTTCTAGAAGCGGTTAACGTCGTTCCGTTTTCAATATTTCATAAAAAAAATATGCCTTTTAGATATATCAATATCAATAATATTTTTAATACATGCGCTTTGAAAAGATATGTGCAGTTTTCGCTCCACCACTTCCCTACCCCACAGTACTTTTTGCACCCGTCTAAGAAATTGCTTCCCGCCATCTTGATCAGCTCGTTCACGGAAGAAAAACAATCAATGTCTCGTTTGAAGAGTTAAAAGGAAAAAAAGCACTTTCTTTGTGCGCCAATGGTTGAGGATGAAAGGCCTAGAAAAATTCTTCGAGATATTTGAAAGTTAATATATAAAACTTCGTGTATTGTACGATCAATATATGCAACAATTTTAAAATATGCTGACGAAACGTTTCCTTGATACGAAGTACGCCGGTAAGAAAGGCATTATTAAAATACTAATTTATAGAACCTGTCATTGAGATTAATCAGATCAATGACTGTGATCTTTTTTGCAATAATTATAACAAGCGTTTGGAGCGATTTGCGTAGGGTTCTTCACGTACGAGTTTGATCAGATTGGTATTTGCAGCTTATTTACTGGAAAATGCAATATGTTGTTCCCAGGTGGGGCATTTGTAACCTATATTTTAAGCCCCACCGTGGAATATTTGTGTGAACGCCCGTCCCAACGGTGGGGCATTTAGCTGCATTTGCGGCTTTTCCAACACAAAATGACAAATGCCCGACAAATGCTCGGGGGTGGATGGGCACGCTTAGAATTGACTGAGCCATAAATGAGCCTCAGAATGTTAACCGATTTGCTATCATACAGTTTTTCTAACACCAGGAACTTTATTGCTTTTAAATCCTCCTCAGTGATCAAATAGCTAATAAAACTGGCGGATACGTTTTATCTGATTTTATAAAAGAATAAACCACAATCATGTAATCAATCAAAGCTACAAAACAACCGGTTTCCAAAATCAGCAAAATGAGAAAATGATT